ATACACAAGGAGCAGCCAATGAGTAATGGGCACTTTAGTTCCTAGAACTGTCTTGGCTCTCTCTGAAGTTCTATATTTGTAAAGCTTCTGAAACTCATTCTGGAAGAATGGCAAGACTTTCCTTTATGTCCCTAGCCAGTCTTTTTATGAATACAGGGATTTGCCATTTCCTCTTTGTTTTGATTAGCAGTAAGGATGAATGAACAGACTGATCATTTGGAATTCAATTGTGTGATTTGGAAAGGACCATCTTGGTTGCTGGCATCAGGCCCCGTGGTATGCCTAAGAGTGACCACACTAGATAGGGCTCTGGTTTGAGGGCAGATGGCCCAAAGGCTTGGTAATTCTGGCTTCTATTCCACTACAATGGCATTAACAATGTACCAATGTGTGATGTACCAGCTAGAGAACTTTTTTGACCTTTCAAGTTCCCTTTAGCTGTTTCAAGTGCACAGAAGTGTGGTGCATGCATGAGTGCTAATGGAGAAAGCCTTTGCATGACATAATGCTCCAAAAATCCCCCCACTGTTTGGGGGAACTAGCTGCTCTATAGTCTGATTAGACTATCTGATTTACATTGTGAGGCACTGACCAGCAAGTGCTTCACAGCACTCAGTTTCTCCCTATGCAGAGACAGAACAAAGAGACAGTTCAGTGTACTTGAAATAACACTGGATTTGAACTTTGGGTTCAAATCCCAGATCTATCACTTCTTTACTAGTTTGAGCAAATCCTTCCAACTCTTAGACAGTTACTGTCTCTATTTGTAATATTAAAATGATTAAGAATAATTTAAACATGTTAAAACAAAAACCCCCTTATAAGGTATTTTACCACTTCTTTGTGGTCCTAACCAGAATTTCCGAGTTGTTACTGAGAGGTATTTAAATTGTATTTAGACCTTTCTCCCTGTTCCTTCATCCCCACCACTCCAGATCTCTCTGAAAACTCAAGTATGCAATATAAATTTTAGTTTTCCTTCAAGTGCATACACTGTAAATGTAAAATGTAAAAAGGTACACAGGTATACAACAGGTCCTGTATTTTATGGCTGGGAGCTGCACACACACACACACACACACACACACACACACACACACACGTATACCGCCACCTCCATCATAGCAAGGCTGAAAGAAATGACTGCTACCTCATTTAGAAGAACTTGTAAAGTCTTGTTTCTTACTGTGCCTTCTTAGCTATACATTAGGAAATCCAGAATTCTAGCCTCTCAAAGGTTTAGCAAGATTATTTTCTCAGTTGTCTTCCTTAGCTCTTTAAAAGATATGTTAACAGTCTTAAGATCCTGCCTGATTTTAGAACAGACAGCTTAGCTGATGATTTTAGTGACTGGGAGTGAGGTAGTCAGAAACACCTCTGGTAGACACTTGTGGCAGACAGATGTTCCCAGTGTCTATATGTCTTGGAGCCTGAAGTTTGCAGAGAGGTTCCCCAGGGTGTTCTTGGCTGTGTACTAGCCTTGGGTTCTTGGCTATCCCTCTACTACACACTTACCCACATCATTGATGAGAGCTGTAGCCAGATCTCCAAATAGGGAAGGAGAAAGTGAAAGAAAACATGGCAACCTACCCTTTTAGAACAGTTTCTAGGGCCTGGTGTGGCGGGACAAACCCATAATCCCTGCACACAGCAGGGATTCTGTTCCATTCCATTCCATCCCATCCCATCCCATCCCATCCCATCCCATCCCATCCCATCCCATCGCATCCCATCCCATCCCATCCCATCCCATCCCATCCCATACCATCCCAACATCCCATCCCATCCCATCCCATCCCATCCCATCCCATCCCATCCCATCCCATCCCATCCCATTCCAATGGAGGCTCCTCATACCTGTTGAACAGCATGGAATGGGAAAGACATGAAATCTTTGGTAACGGTTTTACAAAAGAAGTTGTTTTACTGATCCTGCTGACTCAGAACCCCCACACAAATGTCATCATCCTGTGCCTCCATGTAGCTTACAACATTTGTGGGGGGGGGAGTTATTTTCAGTGTCATTGCTATCATATCTCACATGCATTGTTCTGAATCAGGGGTAATAACTAAGTCACAAATAGAGAACATGGTATAAGATTGAGGCTATGTGTTCAACTTGGTTTGTAAGAGTTCATTACATTGGGATTCCAAATCATTGTAGAACTGCTTATATTGTTTGGTTTTTTTGGAGTACATAGTTCTAAATGCTCTCAAAACATGATTAATTTGGTTTATAAGATTATGTAAAGTTCCGATTTATAAAGAGTTGTCACAAAGAGCCTTTCTCAGAAAAAAAAAATCATTCTTATGCATAGGAAATTCCAGGTCACCCGGGGCTACATAGTGAGACCTGGTCTGAAAAACAAACAAACAAACAAACAAATAATCAAAAACAATAATAAAAAGTATGATCAGTCAGCAAAAATCAAGAAAATAGGAATAAGAAACTTACTAATAAATTGAGGAAATTCCTCTAATAAAACCAGTGACTCAGATGTATTAGAAAGGTAATCTAGGATTGAGGAATGTAGCTTAGTGGTAGAGAGCACTTGCCTAGCATGCTTAAGCCCTGGGTTCAACTCCCAGCACTGAGGGAAAAAAACTTATCTGGCTATATGCTGTCTTCAGGGTGGTATGTATGCCAAAATTATCCAGAAAGGATAAAAATGAAGGACTGGCTGGTAAATGCTAACTAGCAAAACAAAAATAGGAATAGAAATATATGAATATTAAGGATTAAATATAAAAAAAACAAGCAAATAGAAGAAGAATAAATAATAAAAATAATAAATCCCAGGGGCTGGGGAGATGACTGATTTGGAGTATTTGCTGCTCTTGCAGAGGACTGGAGTTTGGTTCCCAGCACCCATGTTCAGTGGCTCACAAAGCCCTGTAACTCCAGTTCCAGGGGATCCAATGCCCTCTTCTAGCCTCTCCAGGCAACTGTACACACATGTAAATAAAAATGAATCTTTTTTTAAAAGTGTAAATCTGGGCCTGCCAAGATGGCTCGGTGGTTAAGAGCACTTGCAGCTCTTTGCAGAGAGCCCAAGTTTGATTCTAAGCAACCACATGGCAGCTCATAACTGTCTGTAATTCCAGTTCCAGGGGATTTGATGCTGTCTTCTGGCTTGCACAGGTACCAGGGACACACATGGTGCACATACATACAAGGAGGCAAAATATTCATACACATAAAATAAAAATAAATAAATATTTAAAAAATATAAATTTCAGGAGAAAATGAACATTTATGCGATCATCTTATCACTTAATTAGATAAAGCAAAATATGTTAAAATTGCAAATAAATCAAACATAAAATATAACTAAGATATAAAAATACAAATAAGTAAACAAAATATGTAGAAGGAACTCTTTGCATAACATCGGTATCGTTATTGACTTAACTCAACAAATAGGAAATATGAACAATTAAAACCCATAGAGTATTTACAGAAAATGATTAAATTAGGTAAAATTTTTTTCACCTGACCAAAAATAGACATGAGTTCACATGTAACAACAAAGAGCTATTGAAATTTTGTTTTGTTTTTTAAAGTTAAAAAAATACTTTTATTTATGATGCATGAAATTGAACATATTTATGAGCTAGAGTCTAATAGTTTAATATATAGATATAATGTGTAAAGATAAGGTCAGGGTAGCTAGTGTCTATCACCTCACACATTTATCATTTCTTTTTATTGTGAACACTCAAAATTCTCTCCTGCTAGCTGCCTTGAAATGTAGTTAATTGTTGTTGGCCACAGTTACCTGATGCTGCTGCAGAACAGTTAACAGTTGTTCCCTCTCTTCAGAGCCACCCCTATTAACAGTCTGCCCTCTCTGTCTCCTTCCCAGCCTCTGTAACCACTATTCTGTTTTCTGTTTCTGCCAGATCATCTCTCTTAGCTTCTATATATAAGTGAGAACTTGCGGTATTTGCCCTTTGGTGCCTGAATTATTTATATGTCCTCTAGTTCCATCTATGTTGCTGCTAGTGGCTGAGCCATATTGTGCATACATGTGTACTGCATTCCCTTCTGTGTGATACAACTGGGTTAAACCCACATCTTGGTTATTGTGGATAGTGCTGCAGTGACCAGTGAGGGCTGGTGTCCCTTCAACAGATTGATTTCCTTTCCTTTGGTATCATTTATCTCAGAAACGGGAATGCTGGATCATATGCAAGTTTTATTTCTAGTTTTTTTGAGAGCCCTCCATTCTGTTTTGCATGATGGTTGTGCTAATTTGCATGCCCACTAATAGTGTATGAAAGTTCCCCCTTTGTATCCTCAGCCAGCATTTGGTATTTTTTTGTTTTTGATGATCATTGGTATTGGGGTGATATAATATCACATTGTGGTTTTGATTTGCATTTCCCTAATGGTCAGACAGAGCTGAGCTTGCAAGTTGGCTTCAAGCTCAAACTCATCAGGAGACAGTGGACAGTTTGGTGATTCTAAGTTTGATTACTCCTGTCTATAAAGTGAGATGACAATACCTAACTCATGGGATTGTAATGAGAATCAGTGGAAGTCCGTGTTTTCCACAGACTTCCGCACATGTGGTAAGAATTTGGTAGAGTGCTGAGAAAAGCCAGCACTGTGTGGCCACAGCTCTTTCAGTCCCTCCGGGCACTGGTGAGATGATTAGGGCACTGTTGATGCCTTGGTACTTTTTACATAGAAGTAAGACAAAAAGTAGTATTTACAGTAGCCAAGTTCTGCCTACCTGAATGGAAAGGTTAGGCATTTTGTCAGTGACTATTGAAGTATGCCAGTGGTGAATGATCAGGTTAGTCTTTATCCATTAGAAGTAAAAGAATGACGCACCCAAAACAACAGTGGTTTATTGCTGGAGTGGAGAGCCCAGCCAGGAAGGAAGAGTGGGCTCTGATACTCTGCACCTGCCCACTGCCCTGAGGGGGGGAGAAGAAAGAGCCCTCACCTCCGTCCTGCCTGCTGAAGCATGTTTTTCCTTTTCATCCACCAGGCTGGGACTTCTCCACGCCTGCAGCAGTGCCATTAGCATGCTCCTCAGGCACTGGTGATGGATTCCTGAGATCTTGAGAAAGTGAAAATGTAAATCACACAAGGAGTCAGTAAGTCCTGGAAAGAATTTAATACCTTCTCTCTTCTCTTAGGACTTTGTGAAAATTTGCAGGTTTGAAGTAAAGTTAGAGAAAGAATAGTTTAAAAATCTTGCTTTTAAAAAAATGTCTGTAGATTCTACATACCAAAGTACTTTAATCAAAATATTTGCTTAGTGGGGTGGGGGGGACCAGTGAAAATAGTTAAATGATGTTCGCTAGTCTGACTGCTGTTTCCCTTGCTCCCAAGTCACCATCAGCTGTAAGGAGCTCCATAAAGTTAATGATAGGTGAGGGGAAGAAAGTACACAGTATTAAATGCTTTTATTTCAGGAATGTTGGAATATGAAGAAAAATACTACAAATGCAAATGTAAAACTTGGAGTTGAGAAAATGTAGAATTTCACTCCATTGATGTCTTGGTTTTGATGTTTTGCTGCTGATAGATACAAAACTAATTTTATAAAGGCAATTAAAAAGATTCTTTATTAATAAATGTAGCCAAGACTAACAAATATTGAAAGCAAACAAAAGTTTTCTCAAGCCCATAGTCTTATTTTCTCTTACTCTCTTATTAAAACAAAAAATTGTGGGCCCTAGAGGATGTACGATGAGTCTGGAGCACTTCGTGGTGCTGGAAAGGAAGGAAGTGCCCAAAACAAAAACCTAAGAACCACTGGTAGGTGTGCATCTAAGGAACACAGACAGCAACTGAAAGAGCTCCCAGTGGCCAAAACTGTAAGAATTTGAGCAACAAAATAAAAGTTGTGTTCAGTTTATAACCTAGAGTATGAAATAAGTAGCCATGAGGCTATAGTGATATAAATCGACTAATACATGTAGAGAAGAGACAGATCTTCTGTGAGGAAGAAGTCCAGATAATTTAAATGAATACCCTCAAAGACTTTCTTCCAAAGAGTACATTGTAGAAAGGTGGGGGGGGGACAACCTTGAAGGAGCAACAGTGGAGAAACCTCAGTCACTACCTCAGCCAGGTAAGGCAATGTCAACAGTATTACATCATACTGAGAGTATGTATCCTTGCTCCGATGAGATTAAATGGTGCCTTGCCTGTGTGGTCCCCCTTCAACAATCCATGACCTTAGTCTTATGAGAGAAACCCTGCTGTAGAACATTCTACAGAATGCCTCACTGTGCTTCTCAAAGCTGCCAATGTCATTTAAAAAAAAGTCTGAGAAACTGTCACAGCCCAGGGGAGCCAAAGAAGACCTGATGACTAAATGTAATGTGGCTTCCTGGATGGGTTCCTGGGTCAAAGAAAAGTACGCTGAAAACTAAAACATATAAACTGTCGGCTGTAGTTAGTAATGCTTCAGTATCGCGTCACTCATTGTTACTTACATATACCATATAAACATGGACGATGTTAGGGACAGGGAGACTGAGTGGACGCTCTGTGGGCTCTCTGTACTGTCTTCTCAATTTTTCTAAAATCTACAACTGTTCTGAAAAACAAAATCTTAAAGTTTTAAATCCCTACACGGAAAAGAAATTCACAGTGAGAAAGCCAGGTTAGGTATTAAAATCCCATACAGAACACAGCTTAAACACAACATGCATGCCTGCTTAGTTGAAAAATAGAACTGAACCATATCATCAAAATACATTGTATGAAATTCTCAAATAATTAATGAAACATTTTTACAAAGAAAATAGAACTGGAAGCTGATCTCATAATGTGAGACTTTTAAATTCCAAATTGCTCACATAGGGCCATTATTTTTCATCCATGAAATATTTTTTTTTCTGAAGTTCTTGGCAATGTCTGATTCCAGGATGGCAAAATGTTACCATTATTCCTATTTTAAAGTGAATGTCATGTCTACAAGCTTGGATAGCCATCTTTGCTCAACTGTCTAATCCAAATGTACAGATCAAACCAAAGACCAGCTGTCAGCTGGGAAAATAGTTAGGTGTGTTTGCAAAGCCAGAGTGGTAATGTGGTGAGACTCTGGAGCCTGACTGTTGTCCGCTGCAGTCACTCAGTCTCTTTAAAAGCATTTTTCAAAAAAAAAAAATTATGTTGGTGTAGCCAAAAAGAAACCATTTTGGGGGTGTTTGCATTGGGTCAAAACAAATTAAAGAATATTCCCTTTGGTCCAGGACATGGTTTTACTCCCACATACCACTTCCTACATTTACAAGATCCAGTGTGTCTGGACCCTCCTGAGAGCTGTGGTAATTATAAAAGGAAAGAGGAAGGCCCTGACAGGAAAGCTAGAAACAGCACTTGGACTTGTTGCTTCATCTCTGCCCAGAGTTCTCCCAGTCTTCCCCGTGCCCAGGACAGAGAAGACCACAGCCAGGCATCCTCTCTTCTTTCCTGCCAGGCTAGCATCAAAATTACTTAACCCAGGGAGGTACAATACAGTGACTGTTTTCTAAACCACGAATCAGGGAACACTCTCTGACAGTGTTACTAAATACATTGTATGTGAACTTGACTGTCTGAAGACTGCTCTGGTAAGTGGCCATGGTTGCTGCGGGAATGTGAGTCAAGACCTGAGTGTGCCCCATTGGTAGTGTTGTGTCCCCTAGAGAGGAGTGTGGGCACATCCTGGCAGCAGCACCATCCTTAGGAGTCCCCAGGGTAGGCAGAGTACCAGGGACTATCTTGACTACAGAAAAGTGCCCAAGCCCCTGACTCCCCTGTAGCAGTCTGCCCTTCTTCAGCTGTGAAACCCCAACATTAGGCCGGCAACCTTGGCACTTAGGACTCTATCTTTTCCCCTGTCCCTCAGCATTGAGTCAGAAGTGCCAGAGCTCCAGAAAGTATGCCCCCAGCCTTATCTCCTCTTTACTTGTGCCTTGTGAACACTCAAAAGAAGCTAGGGAACTCCTATAGGGAGATAACCATTGCTATAGTCACAGAGTTACCTCATGTGAAGAGGCAGCTGGCTGATTGTATCACATGCCTCTGAGGGTTGAGAGGGAGTAGAAGAAGGCGCAGTGAGGAAGTGCAGTGTCACATGTGGACTTACAGGAAGCTAGCCAGAAGCCAGCAGGGGACTTGAGCACGCAGTCCTTCCAGCGGATGAAAACAACACAGGTTGGTGCCTTTTTCCCTCTACAAACCCTTCGTGGCTACTCTGAGATTGACTCCCTTCCCTTGAACTGTCTTTAAGAACATCTCAAATGAAAAGAAACTGCCCCAGCTTTGAACGTAAGTACCTATGCAGAGCCAGTAACCACACGTTATTAGAGGAACAAACATTGAGCCATTGTGGTGAAAATGAAATTCTCAGAATTGCTGGCTTCCTAGTTTAGAACTTCTATGCCTTATAAAAAACAAACTCCAGATGTTCCTCAAATAACTTATTTCATGGAATGCAGCTAAGCCTCTCCTCATTTTACTTATTAGCACAAATCTGAAACAAGACGGGTCAACTTGTGTTTGCAGATGTGTGTGAGGCATCTGCAGGGTGTTAGGGAATGCAGAAGTGCTGTGGGTAAAACATGCTGCAAGGCTCTTTTCATCTCATAAAACATATCTTGGCTAGTGTTTCATAGCAAAACAACTTTGCATGCCTATATATTTTTTGCTTTTTTTCTTCCTCTTTTTTTTCTTTCCCTTTCTTCTCATACTCGCACAAGCTGCTAATAAAGAAGACGTAGGGCAGGTCCTCAGTTTGCTAAGCATCACAGCCTGGAGCTAAAGCTGAGCAGGGTTTGGAGAAGCCATGAGTCTTGGTAGTAACTAGAGCTTTCTGTCCTCTTTCTCCTGCTTCTGATGGTATGGAAGATTTGAATAGTCTACTAAAATGCCAGAACGATGGGTGAAAGTTTAGGAAAGATGTGTCCAGGAATATTTCACTGGCCCAGGACTGTTCATCTGCTAGCCAGTGAGGGAATAGTTTCATGAAGAACAGCAAGTCAAGAAAAGTTCCACACAGCAAGCAACTGGCTGCTTCCAGACCTATAATGAGCAAGGAAAATGTCTCAAGTCTGAGTTAAGAGGAGGAAGTTACTTCATTCTTGAACTGATAAGCACCAGGACAGCTTAGGTAGCCAGAGAGGTTTCTGAGTTTTTTCTGGGTGTTTCAGAAAACATGCTAGGGTGGGGATATGGCTCCATTGGTAGAGTGCTTGCCTGGCATTCAGGAAGCCCTGGGTTCGATCACACTACCACATAAACTGGATGTAGTAGCATATGTGCCTGTAATCTCAGCACTCAGGAGGTGGAGACAGAAGGATCAGAAGATCCAGGTCATTCTCAGCTACACAGTGAGTTTAAGTCAACCTGAGCTACACAAGACCCTATCTTTAAAAAAAAATAAAAAATAAAATAAAAGCAAAAAACAAGAAGGGACTAAGGTCCTGTTCCATCTTTTCCTTCATTCTAGCTTGAGCGTTCTAATGTGTCTATACTGAAAAACAACAAAGGGGTGGACAGTTAGTGGACTCGTGTGTTGTTTACATTCCAGGAATGCAAAATAACCAGGACAGTGATGAAAGTAAAGAATCATCCTTGGTTATGTTCTCAGATTGCAACATAGTTTTCATTTTTTACTATCACATTATGCAAGAGAGAGGCGGGGAAGCTGACGCTAGGGGATCTTCTAAGCTGGGGGGTCTGTGTCCTGCTGTCTTCGGAAGCACTTTGCTAGAGCTGACAGAGGCAGTGCACGGTTTCAGCAGGTGTGGATGGGGTGGACAGGACTCTTCTGCCACTGGAGCCCTTGGCAGGAAAACCTGGTGGTGACATCCACCTGGGAACTACAATGGGATAGACTTCTTAACCTGGTACTTCCCTTGAGCACCCAGAAGAGGCCTGCAGTTAGCAGTGGCTGGCTATCCCTTGAAGGAGCACTTTGCTGTCAGGGAGGTTTGTATTATGCTAATCTGATGTTCACAGTAGAAAGAGGCTTTTTCTTTTCTTAAAATGCTTTCCAGGTGGATTTGTTGTCTTTTTTGGTGAGTGCATCCTTCCAAAAGCTGTTTCCGTTTCTTCTTCTCTCCTTAGGCATTTCTTGGCTCCTTCCCTAGCTTTC